AGACTTGTTGAATGAATTTGACCAAAATGCTGACAGTGATATAGACAACAAAGTCCAGGTTGAGGTGGTTTCAGATGAAGATGAGGAACTTATTGGGAACTGGAGTAGAGGTTACTCTTGCTATGGTTAACAAAGAGACCGGCAGGATTTTGCCCCTGCTCTAGAGATTTGTGGAACTTTGAACCTAGATGATTTAGGGTATGTGGCAGAAGAAATTTCCAAGCAGCAAAGCATTCAAGAGGTGACCTGGCTTTTTCTGAAAGCATGCAGTCATATGCATTCACAAAAAGATTATCTGAAACTGGAACTTCTATTTAAAAGGGAAGTCAAGCATAAAAGTTGAGAAAATTTGCAGCCTGACCCTGTGGTAGAAAAGAAAAGCTTACTTCTGGGGACAAATTCAAGCCAGTTGCCAAAACTTGCATAAGTAACAAGAAGAGGAATATCAGTAGCCAAGACAATGGGGAAAATATCTACAGAGCATTTCAGAAATTTTCCTGGCAGCCCCTCCCATCACAGGCCCTGAAGCCTAGGAGGAAAAAATGGTTTTGTGGGCTGGGCCCAGGACCTTGCCGCTTTGTACGGTCTTCGGACTTGGTGCCTTTTATCCCAGCCATGGCTAAAAGGGACCAGTGTATAGCTCAGACCATTGCTTCAGAGGGTGTAATCCCCAAGCCTTGGTGGCTTGCACATGGTGTTGGGCCTGCAGGTGCACAGAAGTTAAGAACTGAGGTTTGGGAACCTCTGCCTAGATTTCAGAGGATATATGGAAACATCTAGATGTCCTGGCAGAAATTTGCTGCAGGGGTGGAGCCCTCATGGAGAACCTCTTCTAGGTCAGAGTGCAGAAGGGAAATGTGGGGTTGAAGCCCCTACACAGAGTCCCCACTGGGGTAGTGCCTAGTGGAGCTGTGAGAAGAGGGCCACCATCCTCCAGACCCCATAATATTAGGTCTACTGACAGCCTGCACCATGTGTCTGGAAAAGCCACAGGCACTCAACACTGGCCCGTGAAAGCAGTCATGGGGGTTGCACCCTGCAGAGCCACAGAAGCGGACCTGCCCAATGCCTTGGGAGCCTACTTCTTGCATCAGCATGTCCTAGATTTGAGACATGGAGTCAAAATAGATTATTTTGGAGTTTTAAGATTTAATGAGTGGCCTGTCAGGTTTCACACTTGCATGAGGCCTGTGGCCCCTTTGTTTTGGCCAATTTCTCCCAGTTGGAATGGGAACATTTACCCAATGCCTGTACCCGCATTGTATCTTGGAAGTAACTAACTTGTTTTTGATTTTACAGGTTCATACGTGGAAGGGACTTCCCTTGTCTCAGATGAGACTTTGGGCTTGGGCTTTTGGGTTAATGCTGGAATGAGTTAAGACTTTGGGAGACTATTGGGAAGGCATGATTGTGTTTTGAAATGTGAGAAGGATATGAGATTTGGGAGGGAACAGGAGTGGAATGACATAGTTTGGCTCTGTCTCCACTCAAATCTAACCTTGAATTGAAATCCCCATGTGTCAAGGGAAGGACCTGCTGGGAGATGACTGTGATACAGAAGGAAAGTGCTGGAAAAAGAAGGGCACTGTCCCTTCAAATAATACAGAAAGGGGGAAGGGTGTGGTCCCTGGCTAGGGCTACACCTCCAGGCCTATGCCCATGGACCTAGGTGAGCACAGACATTTTTGTTTTCCTGCCCAAATGTTGCATTTCCCAAGACTACCCTGGCCTGCCACCCCCACCATCCTGTGCCTATAAAAACCTGGAGACCCTAGCAGGCAGACACAGGTGGCTGGATGTCAAGAGGAGCACATCAGTGGCAGAACACACAGGCAGCTGGATGTTGAGAAGAGCACATCAGTGGAGTAACACACAGGTGGCTGGATGTCAAGAGAAGCACATCAGCAGAGGGACACATAGGTAGCTGGACATTGAGAGGAATGCACTGATAGGCACCAGCATGCCAGCAGGCTGTCAATTGGCAGAACAACACGGAGTTTGACTGGGGCAGTCGGAGAAGAGCTGTCGAGTGGCTTGACTCCAGGGGAAAACTATCTCCCTTCTGGCTCCGCCATCTGCTGAGAGCTACTTCCCCTCAATAAAGCCTTGCACTCATTCTCCAGGCCCACGTGTGATCCGATTCTTCCAGTACACCAAGGCAAGAACCCCAGCATACATATGTGATAAGGCAGGGGTCTAATTGAGCTGGCTAACACAAGCCACCTACAGACAGCTAAGCTAAAAGAGCACCCTGTAACACATGCCCACTGGGGCTTCAGCTGTAAACATTCACACCTAGACACTGCCTTGGGGTCTGAGCCTCACAGCCTGCCCATCTGTGTGCTCCCCTAGAGGTTTGAGCAGCAGGGCACTGAAGGAGTCACACTCCCGTTGCATGCCCTGCAAAGGGGACAAGGGAACTTTTCCTGTTTCAGTTGGATCATGGGGGTGACTTCCCCCATGCTGTTCTTGTCATGGTGAGTGAACTCTCACAAGATCTGATGGTTTGATACGTTTTTGGCAGTTCCTGTCTCTCTTTCTCTCTTTCTCATCTGACACCATGTAAGATGTGCCTTGCTTCTCCTTCACCTTCCTCCATGTTGTAAGTTTTCTGAGGAGCAAAGTTTTCATGAATGGATTAGCACCATCCACTTGGTGCTGTTCTCATGATAATGAGTTACCATGAAATCTGGTTGTTTAAAAGCATGTGGCACCTCCCTGCTGTCTTTCTCCCTCCTTCTCCAGCCATGTAAATTGTGCTTGCTTCCCCTTCACCTTCGGCCATGATTGTAAGTTTCCCGAGACCTCTCCAGAAGCAGAAGCTTCTATGATTCCTGTACAGCCTGCAGAACTGTGAGCCAATTCAACCTCTTTTCTTTATGAATACCAGACTCAGGTATTTCTTTATAGCAATGTGAGAACAGACTAATACAGGGTGTCTTACCAGCTGAGCATCCCAAATCTGAAAACTCAAAATCTAAAATGCTCCAAAACCAGAAATGTTGAGTGCTAACATAACATTCAGAGGAAGTGCTCATTGGAACATTTTGGATTTCAGATTTTTGGATTTGGGAAGCTCAACCAGTAAGTATAATGCAAATATTCCAAAATCCTAAAAAGTCTGAAATCCAGAACACTTTGGGTCCCAAGCATTTTGAATAAAGGATAATCAACCTGTATATTATGTTTCTATTCATTATTTATATTAAATATAATTTTAATTGTGACTTGTTTTATCCCAGTGTAGTGGGGAAAAATATTAAATTCATGAAGTGACAGTGGATGTGCTTTGAGCATAGTATTTAAGAAAACGGTCCTTTGGGCTATGCCACACAGTGATGATGGAAACTCATGTGATGGAGTTCAGAGTGAATTACCAGTGGACCTGGGTCCTGACTTCTAATTATCAAGTCCGAAGAGGAAGGAGCTAGTAACACTGTCTCTTTTCAGAGGAAGCACTTGAGGAGTGAACAGGTTGGGTGACTCAACTAAGGCTACACATTCGTCTCCTTATTTCCAGTCTTACTCTCTTTCCACTTTATCATAGTGACAAAAACAAAAAACATCTTTGTCCTAGCAAGACTTGGCTATACAAATTTAGTGAAACAGAGAGAGCCTTTTGAGCATACATTTCTGCTTAGAACGTAAAGAATGTGAGTTCTAAAATGATTGTGAATCTTCCATGCCTAGAATTTGATGAAATAGCACTAGTTCCTAATTCGCTTTAATTTTATTTGATCATTAGTGCTTAAGAAAGGAGCAACATTTGCAGGATATTTGCTTCTGGCCATATGCTCCATTCAGAACCTTGGAACTAGACGTTTTTCCTGGAAGGTCTGTTTAACGGTGACTGAGTACCTAGCATCTGGGAAAAGAGGCAGCCAATTTCAAGCTTCCTTTCTGGAATTCCAACAGATCTGAAAGTATTTCAGGGTCCGATTAAATCTTCGCCTTGTTTAGATGTTGTCACATCCAGACAGTCTTTGTTAATTTGGCTCTCAATTAGTCTGTTAATATTCTCAGATTTATATTTTGGCTACTTGCATGCTAAAAAGAAATCACATAGAGTTGGGGAATTTGGTTCTGCAAAACTGCGTGATTTTTTTAAAAACAGGTACAATTCTATGATTTTTAAAGTTTGTATTATCCATGCCCTAAAATGACTCACATGCTTCAATGCAGGATACAAAAAATATTTTAAAAAATCATTTGACTTGCTGGAGTAGAGATGTTAAGAGAAAATCAGTAGGGAATAACACATTTAGGAAAGGTGAAAATGCACAAGTTATGACACATTTTGGCCCAGCTCCAAATCCTTAAAGCACTGATGTCTTGTTCCAATTTTTTCCCATTACTTTCACTCCAATCCTATTCTTACTTATTTCCAACCAAGTAGTTTCATATGTATTTGTGTTGGGCTCCACTGGGGGAAAATAGCCATGCGGTGCTCCACCAGCTGACTGAAAAGGAGTGTTTCCCCCACACATACACTCAGCACTGAACTGGGGGCAGTGGTCGGGCACTCAGTAGGGGACGGAGGAGGGGGTCTAAGACAGTGTTACTATCAGTTGTGTGCCACTGGAAGGAAGGTCAGGGCAGGGAAATCTCCCTACTTCACTACTCAGGTCTCTGGGTTGGGCTTGCCGCTCTTCTTGGGGAAGAGCCACTTCTTGGGGCCCTGCACACAAGAGGACGCACGTGGAAAGGGTCTGTAAACCGACACCGGTTCTGCTAACCGCAGGTGACCACGGCACTGTCTTCTTGCGGAGAATTTTTTTTTTTTACGTCAGGCCTCATGCTCGCCACACGGGGATCGCCGCCAGGGCTGTGCTGCCGGGTCCCCGCCACATGCTGGAAGCACTGGAGGCGCGGTCCCGGCGCGACCTCGCGAGGCGCCCGCACTGGCCGCAGGACTGCGGGACTGGCGGTGGCGGCGGCTGCGCGGGGCGGGGCGGGGCTTGGCTACGGGGAAATGACGTCGCCGTCCCCGCGCGCGCCCTGGTAACGGCGGGTCCCGCGTCCTCCTCCATGTCCCCGCCTACCCCCGCCGCAGCCCGCCCCGTCTCCTCCTCCCTCCGCAGCCTCGCCGAGTCCTCGGTGCGGGCTGCGAGTGGGACTCGGGGAGCCACTCTGTCCTCGACGCCTCCGCCGGGCGCGGGCTGAGGAACCAGCGAGAGCAGACCCGGCCCCTGGCCGCCGCCACCCAACCCCGGGCATCTGCCCCGCGCCGTTGTCCCCGTGGCATCGGGCCGGCGGGACCGCCCCGTCCCTTCCAGGGGTGACCCGGGGGTCGCGGGCGGGACGGCGCCTGCGACCGAGTCTGGGGGGCGCCGGGTGTCGGGTCGGGAAGTGGACGCCGCGACTCTTGCCTCGCGGGCGTCGTTGCTCCGCGGGCCTGCCTCTGCGCGCGGGGACAGGTGCCCCGGCCGGGGTCTGTCGGGAAGATGGCGACCCCGGGCATGAGCTGGCAGCAGCACTATTACGGCGGCTCGGCGGCCGGGGCGGCCAAATTCGCGCCCTCGCCGGCCGCCGCGCAGCTGGCTGGGCACAGCATGGACTACAGCCAGGAGATGCACCTGAAAATGAGCAAGAAAATCGCCCAGCTCACCAAGGTAAGGGGCGCAGCGGCGGGGCGGGGCGGGTGGCGACCCTGTGCGGGCCGCGCCAGACTCACCTGTCTGCCTGGGAGGCAGCACGCCTTGCGCCCGCAGCAAAGGGAACGCGACTCCTCCGCCGAAGCAACAGCCGGAGACACCTCCAAAACCCTGCAAACTTTGGTGTAACGCTGGCAACATGAATTTAAACTAGACTGCACAACGGCACGGTGGGTGTAAGGGACTTGCACCTGCTTGCCCTTTAAGGCTAAGCCAGCACAGAACAAATTAGGATTTAGTTCCTTTACTCCACAATACTAAATCACTTTACTGTTGCTCCCATGCATCTGCCAGGGCTCCACGAGGCATCACACTACAGTACCAGTTGAAGTACAGTACCGTATTTACGTAATATGACTCGGAATTAAACAGTATCTTACTGGTTAGTTAAGGGGAGACTCAACTTTCAGAGGAATGTAGAAGGGTAAAACATACCGTGAGTGCCGATTTGGGGCATTTAATGAGTCATTCCTTATCCTGACAAAATGTCAAACAAGGCTTATTAGATGAATCACACTGTGTCTGCATCTAGTTCAATGTTTGTCTATCGAAGGATAATTTTCAAGGAGCAGATAGCCGTCAAATTCAGCCACGTGTAGTTAGGACTGTAACTAAATCAGGGGACTTTTTTCTAATTTAATAAATGTCGATAATGAGAAGGAATTGGTATCTGTGAAGCAAGAGCAATTCCTATCAGTTATATTGCTCTGCTTAGATCTCACCAGCAATCTAGCAATACCTATCAGTAAGAAGTGATTTATGGTGTCTGAAAGTTAAGAAATGTGGTGTACCTTAATGTGTTTAAGCTGTCTCCTAACAGCTTGTTAGGAGAGTTCGTATGCTGAAGAGAGATGGGCATCGTGGGGGTTACTGCTAGATAGCCTCTGAGTCTGACTCAACTCTAGAGTTCTCATATAATCCCATTGCTGGTTGGCACTTTTGAGAGAGTGAAGTAAGACATGAGATTCCGAAGAGAGGAAAGGAAGGAAATGGGAGTGAAAAAAGGATGAAAAGAGAATAAAAAGATTTTAGTAAAGAAATGTGACTGAGGATAGAAAAGATAACATAAAAGGACTACAAAATGAGAGCACAAATGGAAGAGCAAAAGAAAAGTTACAGGTAGGTAACAGTTAAACTCACCCAACGTCTTGTGAAGTTTTCATCTTTTATTTTATCTCAGCAGTGACTCAGAAGTTGTTTGTGCGGTGTTTTGTTTCCTTTTTTTGTCAGAGTATTGCATTCAGAGAAAGGAAGATCTAAGAAGGATGATAGTAGTGTATCATCAGAACATTTACACATTTGGAGTCTAAAAGCCAGGCTTCCTGCAACAGTGTTTGATCTTCTGAATACTGATGTCCTGAATGAAGCACATGAATATTTATTCTGATTTTCTCTTATGATGTGTCCATAACATCCACTGTTCTCATTTTAGATGTAACCCTCTAGAGCCCTACTGTAAGTAATAGGAAAACTCAGTAAATTGGTTGTGGGACTGTGTACTGTTTAATAAAAGCTGTTGCTCTTCAGTACATTTTTTTTCTTTCTACTTAACACTTTTTCAGTTTCCTGTTCTTTTATCAGAAAAAAATAAGTCAGCACCACCGGTAAAGGTAGGTGTATTGATTGGAAGCTGGTATTTTCTGCCATTACATTACCCACCTCATATCTAATGAGACAAGAGGGTGCTCTCAGGCCAGTGCTCTCACACTGCTTGAATGCCTCATCTGATCTTTACTGAGTGTTACTTGGACTCTGTGGTTTTGTGTTTGTAGTTACAGTCTCTAAACACTCTCCACACCCTCTGCTAAGTACTTCAGACATTTAATCCTTCATACTAGCTTTCTCAGTGTCACATTTTGGACTGGATATTGTCACATTATTGACATTTTGGACTGGATAATTCCTTGTTGGTTGTGGGATATCCTGTGCGTTACAGGATGTTTAGCAGCATCCCTGGCAGTACTCAGTGGGTACCAGTAGCTACCCTCCCACACCCACCCCCAGTCATGACAGTAAACATGCCTCCAGATATTACCAAATTTTCCCAGGATGGGGCAAGGTAGTTGGGACAGAATCATTCCAATAAGAACCATTAACATATCCTGAAATATCTAGGGATTATCCTGCCTTTGTTTACTAAGATAAGGCCTGAGAATGAAACAGTCTGATAATAGGACTCTGTTGCAGCCAACATCTTTCTATTTCTACAGACATATAATAAGACTTGCTTTCTTTATGTACCATTTTGAAAGTTGTCAAATTTTACAGTCATATACACTTATTGTAAATACTGTACCATAAGCATGACATCATGAATGTATATAAACATAGAGAGGGACTGTTACGAACTTTACTACTATCTGCCATATAGAATTTTTACTCATGAAGAGTTTATTCATATTAGCAGAGGTGCGTTCCCACTATGGTTGGAGCTTGACAATGGCTTATATTTCATAATTGTACACTGTAAACGTAACCATTAAAATTGGATTTTATTTCTTTTGGAAAGAAGTCAGTAGAACTCAACTCTTCAGCATTATAGCAGCAGCACACTTAAGAGCAGTGTGGGAACCTGACACACTGAGTTAAAATTCTCACTCCACCACTTACTACTATTGTGACCTTGAGCAAGCCATTAAACACTGAGCCTCAGTTTCCTAATCTTTAAAATAGAGATGATAATACCTATTTTACAGAATTGTAGTGGCACATAGTAGGCTCTTCATTCAGGCTGTCACTAACTGAAAAGACATATACTAATATGAGTATTAATAAAATACGGATTTTTTTTTTTTTTTTTTTGAGACGGAGTCTCGCTCTGCCGCCCAGGCTGGAGTGCAGTGGCCGGATCTCAGCTCACTGCAAGCTCCGCCTCCCGGGTTCACGCCATTCTCCTGCCTCAGCCTCCGGAGTAGTTGGGACTACAGGCGCCCGCCACCGCGCCCGGCTAGTTTTTTGTATTTTTTTTTTTTTTAGTAGAGACGGGGTTTCACCGTGTTAGCCAGGATGGTCTCGATCTCCTGACCTCGTGATCCGCCCGTCTCGGCCTCCCAAAGTGCTGGGATTACAGGCTTGAGCCACCGCGCCCGGCCAAAATACGGATATTTTTAAAAATGCTTCTCTCCTTTTAAAATAAACCATTCTGCATTTAACAGCGTTGTATGATAGTGCACTTATTTTGAGAGTTTTCTGCTAAACTTTTAAAAAAATATGTATATAGTAGTTTTTTTTCTCCTTTGAATATCAAAGTTTAAAGGTTTCACATTTATTCTGTATCGTGGTAGTATAGTACTGAAAATACAGTGTGCATGTTTCAGAAGATTTGGCTCGCTATGAAAGGATAAGCATGAAAGTAATATATATTATAATTTTGCCCAGAGCGAAGCTCAATATATTTTTAACTAAAAAGCAGTCTTTGCTGTATGCATATTTGTTCAGATCCTGTTTCCTAAGAGCCTAACATAGCAACCTTCTCATGGTAAGGAGAACAGCAGTTCTTTAAGCACCTTTAATATAAGGGAGACTTTGGGGAATGTTACAGATACAGCTGGGAGCAAGACACAGTCTCTGCCTTTTAAAGGAAGCCTAGCATATTTGGGTCACTCATGTCAAGTTTTAAGAATTAATATTAGATTCTTGAGCTACATTATGGCAAGTTTCTGCAAATGTTAATGGCTGAACTATCTCAAGATAGGCAGTGAAGCTGGATGGGTTCAGTTATGTTTTGTAAGACCACATCTGTATACTTCTGTGCTCTCCACTGTGTTGACTTTTCAGGATATTAGAAAAGCAGGCCTTGTGGGATGTAATTATAAAAGCTTTTTTTTTTTTTTGTCACTTCAAATTTTTTTCCCTTTTTGTCTCTTTCAATTTACTCTTTGAGACTGGTTCATCCTCTGCCATGGATTAACTTAATTTTTCTGGTTGCTCTTAGATAGTACAAATCATCCTTCAGTAACAAAGTCACAAAAGTCTCAATTTGATTATTAAAATTAAAATGCCCGGTACCAACAAGTAAAAACTGCAGACCAAGCCTGAAATAAAGATGGGGCTTCTGCCTTAACTGGTCTCTTGTTCTGTCTCTTGCAAGGAGGAAGCCAGTAACTGGGGAAGGGGGTATCATTGCCTTTTCACTTCTTACCTGGTTTTCCTACTCTTCCTGCTTTGTCTTGCCAGTTCTGGTTTCTGACCCTTCCAAAGTTGGACAAGGAAGAAGCAAAAAGAGGAAAGAGGAGCAGCAAACTTTTACTTGATTAGTGAAGAAGCTAGCTGGTGATTTAGTTTCAGTGCTTTTGTAGCCGTTGCAGATGTTTAAAGCTTGTTCTTTTCACTGAGAATCCTCTACCTCCCACCTCAGTGGCTCTAGATTTTCACCTGAATTCCTTGACAGTGAGAATTCCCTTACGTTCTGGTTGGTTGCTTCCTCCTTCCTCAGCCTCTTAGAGCTAGCAGTACCTTCACCTTCACTGTGCAGAGGTCTGTGCAAACTCTAGATGCCCCTCTTGCATGGACTCGTGTGATCCTACCCCAGGTTGCTCGCTCTCCTGTAGAGGCCACATAGGGAGCACTCATTCTTTGCACAAACTCTGCTGGTGGTCCCAGTTCAGCCCTCTCTCTCGTTGTCACATGCCTCTTCATGCAGCTTCTCATCCTTTAGATTTTCCAGGGATTAATCAGGTACCAGGTCAGCATGTTCTTCAAACTGCTTGAGACACATGTCAAGTTCTTCAAGTCATCCGCGCAAAGCCTTTTTCCCTAGGCTTTAGATGTGGGACAAGCATCTTCCACCCTTCCCCCTTGAAGACACAGGCCCCTGTTACCACAGCTCTCCCCAGGGAAATCTCTGAAGCCTATTCTGTAATCTCCTTGAAGCGCCACCTCACTGGTGGTGGGGGTAGACAGTAACACACCTTAGCACTCTTTTCTTTAGACTGCCTCTTCTCATTTTCGAGAATGAT